TTGTTACTGGAAACCCGAGTTCGAATTCCAGTCGAATTCATTACATGCGCTTACGTGCTAATACCCTTTGAAAAGCTATGAATCCTCTTCTTCGCCCCCCAGCTATGGATAAATAGCAGGTCAAACCGGATTCCATAGCCTTGGATGGCAACTGGTCTACCGCAGAAAGAAATGGCAACCTACTGCGGGAAAAAAAATCTGCCTTGTCAGTCATTTTATCGAAAAATATCGCTTATAACTGGCTGACGTTAACGTTAAAGTTACTCATCCGTGGATAAGTCGAGGAAGCAGACCTTCTCGACAACTGAGAAAGACAAATGCAAAAAAAGATTATTTTTGAAGACATTTTTTTATGTTTATATATTCTTTTTATAGATACAAATATTTAAGTAAATGCTCTGTTTATAATAAACAGTGAGAGAATCATGGAAAATTGTAGCTTAAAAACAGTAAAATCGACCTTGCTAATCGAACGTTCCTCTATGGCCAAATCGGTAAAAGCACGCCAGGCTATATGATGGTTCCGTATAGGATACAGGTTCGATTCCTGTCGGAGGACGCATATTTTCTTTGACAATTTCTCGGACATTCAGTCTGGTAAATATTGTTCGTTATTTTAAACAATGAAATTAACGTCAAATGGCGTTTCATTGTTTGCCAGCCACAAAATTCTACCATAGTCGGGATCATCGTGTCTCGTGATCACTTCATTAAATGCGTATGGTATTTGAATTCAGTGTTATCTTCCTTTTAGAGCGGTTGCCAACCAAGGCTGAAGAGCACAGTCTACTCTGCTATTTTACCTATATGAAAATGATTCCTACCCTTCCCAAAGTTATTTGCGCGTAAGCAAATATATCGAACCGGACTGGAATTCAGACTTGAGCGAGAAAATCATGGAAAATTGTAGTTTAAAAACAGTAAAATCGACCTTGCTAACAGAATCGCTTCTCGGTAAATCGCATATGATGTGGTGACTATGTCGCATAGAACTACATATATTGGAACTATTTTTTATACGCAGTGTAATCAATACAGTTGCGTTATCTTGGAAGAAAATAAGAGATAGCCATTATAACGATATCAAAAGAATCCTTTCTTGTAGTTTGAAATCAAACCTACTTACGTGAAAACCATATGCAGTATATATTGTTTCTTACATATTTCTTAATAAACCATATATTTACTCAGATTATTAGTAAATATCTTTTCAGGTGATATGTATCTAAATTATTCATACTTCGTAGAATTAAAAAAAATATAATATTTCGTTTAATTAGACACATGCCCATTATATTTGAAAATTTCGAAATTACGTAGTTATTATACAGTGCTATATTTATTTTATTTTTAGCATATATATATATATATATATATATATATATATATATATAAAAAAGACATTTTTATACATTCTTTTTTATAGATATAAATATTTAAATAAATTCTCTGTTTATAATAAACAGTATTAACAACATTTACCGTCTTAAATGTCCAAGAAATTTTCATAGATAATATGCGTTTCTTAATACTCTTAGATAGAAACCTATAATAATTCCAGATTTAATTTTAGAAGAGTGGTTTGAGTAGAAACTGATCAGATCATTTTTGTTTGTGATCTTTCTGTAAACGTCAAAATTGAGTTCGTTATTTCTATGTAACGAAATGTCCAGGAACGGAAGAGAGTAGTTGGTCTCAGTTTTGAAAGTTAACTCTGAAAAATTTTTCACACACACACACACACACACACATATATATATATATATATATATATATATATATATGTGTGTGTGTGTGTTTTTGTATGTGTTTTTTATTTATGAGCACATAGGAGACCTCTCAAAAACAACTTAACTAATTTTTTTATTTGTGTCCGAGAAATCTTCAAAGAAAATATGCTTCCCCCAACAGGAATCGAACCTGTATCCTATACTGGATCTAGGTATATTTTTATTTCGTGCTGGAAATTATAAAATGGCGGATCTATTTTCATCGCCGTTGATTCTTTTTTCTTCTAGTTCTGTCCCTTGACGACGTGGACGATTATGGCTCTCCACAATTTCCTGCTCTTTGTAGCTCTTAATAAAATCTATTTGTTTTTGTTTGTTCTCTCTACTAATTACTTAATTAATCTGCCAAAATTTATACATGTTCGTTAGGTAGGTTAAGCGTTGCCTGTTTCCCTTGTCTTCAGTATACCATGTGTGTGACGTCCCTTTGGTCGCGACGTCAGCTGAGATGTCCTTAAACGCAGCCTTCGCTCGCTCCTCGCTGCTCCGTTCGGGTGTCGCCGCTCCTAACGTGACATCCGCCTGTCGCGTCAGTCGTGTTGTCTCGTCCTGTGACGACCAACTGGCTTGGTATCGGTCGCGGCACCCAAATGTGACGTTCTAACCTTTTTGTGATTCGGATGGGAATCTGGTTAGATTCGATATCAGCCTCGTCGTTCCCAACTCGCTTCCAACGCCTGGTTACCAAAGTAACTGCACTGATCTCCAGTCGGACATTCCGCCGCTCTGTGGTCCTCATGCCCACAAGTCCAGCAGACCAGCCCGTATCTACCCGGCGTGGGCTTATAGAACCCATGCCTGGTTGACCATGCCTTTCTATTGGGGTCTTCTTCCCACACCTCAGGCTCACCTACTTCCAGCTTGACCCTCCGATTCCACGCGGGGGGTCTTCCGCCTCCCCTCTTCTTCCGACCTCTTGACTTAGTATCTGTTTCCTTCCACACCTTTTCACCTTTTCCCATATGCCCTGGCTCTCCTTGGCCAGCTCTACTGCTGCCGATAGTCTCAGCGGTCCCTCCTTCAGCACGTCGTGACGAACACGCTCGTCACTTAGTGCCTCCACATACAGGTCTGCTAACTGGGCCTGCATGACCGCATTGTCTCTCACCACTTCTGGGAAGGCCAATGATGACAGCTTCCCCGCTCGGGTCCCCAATTCTCCAGGGGTTTCGTCCCGCAGCTGCGTCAGCTTTAGAAGGGATCTCATGGCCTCTATAGCCGTGCCCTCGTCGGCGAACTCCTTGGTTAAAAGTCCCTTTAATCTTTCCCATGACAAATGGGGTTCACTCTCCAAGAGCCCCTTCATAAATTCAGACGCTTTCCCCTCCGTGGAATCATATGCCAGATACAGGGTCTCCTGGTCTGTGAGTTCATATATAACTCGGCTCTTCTCCAGGATTGCCAGCCAGTTTTTGAAATCTCTCCCACTGCCGTCAAATGCTGGGACCCTCGGTCCGCCCAACAACCTTCTTAGGTCAGCTGACAACCCCTGTCTAACCCCCTCTTCATTCCCCACTACTCTATCTGAATCATAGTCCGACATATTTAAAGAGAAAGACAATCTACGCAGCAACAATCGAGGTTCCTCTCAGGTCCCGGGTCGTTTTTGTCCTATTCGAAATTTCTCAGCAACAGCGGTCGATCCAGGGTCCTGTCCTGCTGTCACGGTACTATTTGTGGCAGTGGCTGTTCCAGGGTCCTGTCCTATCCTGGTCACGGCACCAACTATGATGTCCCTTTGGTCGCGGCGTCAGCTGCGACGTCCTTAAACGCAGCCTTCGCTCGCTCCTCGCTGCTCCGTTCGGGTGTCGCCGCTCCAAACGTGACGTCCGCCTGTCGCGTCAGTCGTGTTGTCTGGTCCTGTGACGACCAACTGGCTTGGTATCGGTCGCGGCACCCAAATGTGACGTTCTAACCTTTTTGTGATTCGGATGGGAATCTGGTTAGATTCGATATCAGCCTCGTCGTTCCCAACTCGCTTCCAACGCCTGGTTACCAAAGTAACTGCACTGATCTCCCGTCTGCCTACCCACGTTGTGAATTGATCTTAGGCAGACGAGATCAATCAGTAGTGGGGCCGTAATGCAAATCAGGTTCAAACGGGGGTGACACCGCACAAATATGCATAAAATAAAATAAAATGATAACTCAAAAATTCAAGGTATCAAAAAAAAAGAATAACAAACTTTATGTCTAGTTGTTGGATACATAGGACTGCGTCTATTTCCCGACCCGTTCTATGGATTGTGATACGTTGTTTTCCGTTAGGCGAGTTTTAACGCTTCAAGTTGTTTGCTCTTTAAGAAATGGGTTTTTCGGTGGGTGTCTTCGGGCGAAAGTCGAAAAAAAAACTTATTTTGGTGGTTTGGATCTAAGTCGCTCTTCAAATTAATTGTTCTTGGATTGAAGAGGAGTCCGGAATTTGCGTGAATCTTTCAAGTCAGCTATCTGCGAGGTGGAACCAACTTCCACTGCGAACTTCGAGCTCTCTGCTGGAACTGGAACTGAAACTCTAACTCGAACTGATCTCTGCTCGCTGCGACTTCGCTTATATGGATGCCGACCAAAACCGGGGTGGGTTTGTCGGCGCCGGGGGTCCTCGATAATTCTAAATACATATCCACCTCTTTTATTTCTGGTTAGGAATTTTCCATTTTTCTCACCTTCTCACCATACTTCAGAGGGGCGTGAACTGCCCTCCCCACTTCTTCGTAGCAACCTCTCATACCCATCCTCTAGATGGGCGGCGACAGCCTCCTCCTTGCGTCATGTGATCACCACTCGACCAATGATGTCTAGTCGGGCGTGTACGATCCCGCGGCTTTGTTTCAGGAAAAAAAATATCTTACTTAACAAAAAAAAATTATCTTTTTCTTTTCCTTTTCTTTCTTTTAATCGCAGTTATCATTTTCTCTAGTCGCAACCAGAACAATACGATCGATGGTGGTCATAACTCTTGTTCTCACCTGGGCTTCATCAGTCATCTTATCGCTAATTATCAGAATGCGTGGTCTTTTTAACACGGCCAGACCGTCGCCTCGAAAAGAAACATTTCTAGTTTCCCATTCATTTTTTCGGTACACATTTCTGATAACATAGTTTTATTATCGCAGGCTAAAGATGTTCTGTCGAAAGAAATCGGTCAGTGGCCACCTCGTGTGCGGCTTTTGACACAATTAATTTTTCATATCTATCCAAAGCCCTGTAGTTCACCTGTTTTCCGTCACTTATCAAAATAACATTTTCATTTGGGTTTTTCTTTGGCTAGTCGGTCTGTGGTTTGCCAATCAGATGCCTTCCCGCATTAGCGGTTTGTTTATGTATCCCAATAACACAGCCGTCGTCAAAACACACCCGATTCCTTTATCCACTCAAATTTTTTTTTTCATTGTAATGACACTCTTCGCCATTTGTTATTTATCAAAATATCCTTTATCCATTGTCTCTTAGCCGTAGGTGTTCTGCTTATCATCCACGCTTTGGGTCTTCGCCTCTCTTTTCCTTTCTTTCCTTTCTTTTCTTTTTCTGCCTTGGTAAATGGTGCCACATGTGAATACCAAATTCTCTAAGCCCCCTTTCCTCATTATTTGCGCCTTTGATTACCTTGTCAAAAATTCTGTGTTGCAAAAGAAAAAAACATTTCTGGCTTGTCCCATTAAATATCTACAAAACCCAGCTGGTAAGGTTTCATTATCACAGAATCAACACTTGGTAGGTCCTGTGGTAATGAAACCTTACCAGCTGCTAATGAAACCTTACCAGCTGGGTTTAGTAGATATTATCTATTATTTATCTCCAGTCCTGATGAAACCCATTGCCTTCAACGTCGATTCGAACTCAAGAGGTCTTCAGACTTCAAGTGGAACATCGATAAAGATGCTTGGAAAATTGTCAGTACCTTGTACAGGTCCAGAAAGTATCTCTTTCTGCCATGTTCGATCTTTACCAGCTCCAAAATTGGTGAACTGCTACCATACCTGGGCTGGATCTTCCCAATTCTTACTTTTCATCCTTTACGCCGCCTTATGGGTGATGAATTATTTTCCACTTTATTTTTCAGGGAGTATGTCTCTTGCCTGTTGCTATACTGCCTCTCTTTCATGGCAAATGCCCAGAAGAGCTATATCCCTGGGTCCCAGTAAATCGCGCCCTTTTACAAGTAGGACCGCTATACCACGTACCCAGAGTTGTCTTATCTTTCGTGAAAAGTAAATGCCCATTAGTCATATTTTTCTAAGAACTTTTAATTTGAGAAACAGACTCCCGTGTGGATTCTTCCTCGATCACTGTAATCTTGATCTTAATCCATTAATCCTCTAGGGTCGCCAAGAGTTAACATTTATATATCCTGCATATCCTTATAATATGCATTTCATACCATCTCCTTTTGCTTACAACAATCACTTTCAGTAATAGTCGAACTTGACTGACTCTAGGGCTGTGTAATAAACAATAGTATTAAAAAAAAATATTCCCTTTCAAATTTACCCTAAAGCGATTAACTGGTTCGATACTTCTAAAATGTTCTTATCTTGGTGCCATAAATAAATTTTTGCTTCACTGTATTTGATAAACGCTTTTATAATTCATACCTTTTTGGCACACAGAGCTTTCGATTATTATAGTGTTTATACGAAGCTTTTTATCATTGCCTTATACTTGGTATGTATATATCTTTCACACTGTGAAGCGTGTGCCCACGACTACGTCTCTATCGTTTTAAATTCACTTTTACATGGGAATTATCTATGTAAGTATCGATCTGTATATATATATATACACTTATATATCTCATGATTCATCTATCCAGGGTGTCTGCTTATTCAACTATCGATTCATTTTGTAAACTGTCAGTTCCCAGTGTCTATATATGGTCAGATCTCTCTCTCACACTCTCTCTCTCTCTATCCCCCCCTCTGCCATACATTCTCTCTCAACTTGAATCCCTCGGTCTCTCATAAATTGTTATTGTTAACTGTGTAGACCCTCGTCTTAAGCACAGGGCACCAGCCACACCCAGCTAGGTGTTACTGCTGTGGTTTCTGAAGTAATGTTTTATTACGGCGTCGAGTTTTTGAATTCATTTAGCCACCTCCTACACTGGTTGCCAAACAAAGCGAAACACCCCAGTCTAACAATAAATTAACCCTTATGCAGTAGAAGTGAATGCCCTATGCGTTTTTGTGCGAAAGTAAATGCAATGTCCTTGACTGCAATTTGAACATTTCCCGCGTTCATAACCGTTGCGCTACCATTAGATCATTATATATATATATATATATATATATATATATATATATATATATTTGTGTGTGTGTGTGTGTGTGTGTGTGTGTGTGTGTGTGTGTGTGTTGTACCTGAATAAAGAACCATAGGTATCAACAGATATTACCAGCTTAAGTTTCTGGATAATAAGAACATTTGAGATATCAAAACAATTGAGATAAACAGAAACTAGTAAACAGGGTATTTCTCTCTTTCTCTCTCTATATCTCTCTCACGATATATATATATATATATATATATATATATATATATAGATAGATAGATAGATAGATAGACAGACAGACAGACAGACATATCTGTATGTATATATATAGAGAGATATACAGACTGGGATATTTATAGCCTTTTCTTTCTAGCTATTGCGCTCTCTCTCCCTCTCTCTCGCTCTCTCTCTCTCTCTCTCTCTCTCTCTCGCTCTCGATAGATAGATAGATAGATAGATAGATAGATAGATATGTATAGCTCTATCTACTTTTTATCTATCTATCCACATTGATTGATAGGTAGATATCAACAGGTATATCTCTCTCTTTCTCAGTCTATCTAGATATAAATATATATACATACAAATATAATGAGAGACACATAGATATGAACTGACGGATATATATATATATATATATATATATATATATATATATATATATATATCTATATATATATTCTTTCTCTTTTCTCAATATATATAGATATAGATACAGAAAGAGAGATGAACATTCTAAAGTAGATATAGAGATAATGATAGATATGAATATGTGTCTCTATAGATACGAACAATGTGAGGTAATGATCTATATATATATATATATATATATATATATATATATATATATATAAAACTCTTCTCACTCTCTCTTTCCCCTCTTCTATCTCTCTTTCTCTCTTTATATACATAGATAAATATGTAGCAGGTTGGAGAGTGTGACAAATTTGCTCTGTGTCAATAACTTAATCAATACTGTTCATTATACCTCCGACCCTTGCTTCAAAATTCGTGTCTATCCGTATATTTGAATGCCTTTGTTTATTTATACGGAACCATTTGCAGTATAATTGAGCTGATCAATCATCCTCTTTACTTGAGGGTCGATAAGAGATCATGATTAATCGAAATACATGAAGCCAATTTTTTAATATACTTTGACAGTAGTGAAATAAGCGAGGACAACATTAGATCAATTTTCCCAGCGCTGTGAAAGAAACCAGGCGCGAATCAATGAGAATACTATCGACCAATTACTTCGATGACCCACATATAGCTAATCATGAGAATCCAAGTAGAGCTCAGAACATTAGCCGAAATAGACCAAGAAAAATGAAACATTGTTCGTAATACTGGAACAAGAAATGCAATTTTCATGATCAGAAATCTATCAATGCATCCCACTAACCCCCTTCCCCGGCGTAGGCGTGTATGTATATATATATTTTTACAGAACCCTAACGTTCAAAAACAACCTGCAAACGTGTTTATACGTCGATCTTGATTCTTTTTATGCCCTTCTGAGCTTGAAACGAGTCAGATGGTAGAGGTATTAGCCACTGCACAGGTACGTCAAGGTACCTCAGTTTCTTAGTTACTAGATTAAAAACAAATAAAAAATTCGTCTGAAAATAAAACGTTTTACCCAAAATAATTGGCGGAGAAGGGTTTAACACCCAGAAATATCGATATAATAGTTTTATTGATTATCAATAAACAGACAATAATTTATAAGAACTTTTTTAAATATTAAGAAAGCAAGACTTACACGGAAAATATATTCGAATAGTTTGTTACCTATACTGGTAACAAAAATTCAGTATACGGAAAGGAGACAAGTTCATCGAATATACGAATGGATTTGTTTAGCCAAGGGTTGTGCAAACTACGGCCCGCAGGCCACAAGCGGCGCCTCTAAATGTTAGTAAATTTAAAAGAGAAACTTAACAAGCAATAACAAATAATTGTTACAGGCAATTTGACGCTTAATTTTAACAAACTGGTAAATGACTGCAGTCAGATACATTATTCTCATTGAGTTGTTCAGATCCTTCTGTTGCTGAGTTCCTTTGTTTTTAATATAAATCTGTTTTATGTGAAGTTACTACTTCAAAATATCAATATTTTTTTCTTCTTTAAACTGAATTGCTTTGTTTCAAACAAATCTGTTTGATGTTCATTTTCTACTTTAAAATCTAAATTTATTTTTTTCTTTAAATTTAGTTACTTCATTGTTTTATTTGAAGTTTTGACTTTAAAATATTTGTAAGAATTGTTTGTTTTTTTTTTCTTTACGCAGAGTCAATTTGTTTTTCAATTAAATGTTTTCTACTTTATAATATTAATTAATAAAATACTTTTTTTCTTAAAACAAGGTTATTTTGACTTTCAAGTGTGTTCCGTGTATATCTTTAACACAAAAATACTTATTAACATTTTTTTAAAGTAATTTAAACTGAGTCACTTTGTCTTTCAAATAAATGCGTTTCATGTGAATCTTCTACAGTATTTAAAAATATTAATTAATAAAAATTGATAGCATTTTTTTCTTTAAATTTTTTTTTGTCTATTTTAAATATTAATTATTTAGGGTTAATAGACTATGCGGCTAAATAAAATTGTGAATTTTTTGATGTGGCTCTTGCACTAAAAATTTGCCCACCCCTGATTTAGCCGGGTTTTCTTTTGTTGTATTGTTTTTGTTTTTAGATTTTCGTTCAATACAATGCCCAAGAGCCACTCAAAGTAGAGGGTTACTTAATAAGGTTGTTTTATGAACACTAGAGAGATGGGGTATAAGTCCAGATTACGATAATATATAGTAAAGATAACTGTTGATTCCAGACTTGAAGATATAAAGATTGGGGAAACATACTCTAGGTAGCCTGTTCCACAAAACAGCTTTCTTGGAACTTCCTCTTAACTAATGGAATACGAAGGAGATGGTCCGTCGTAGTGTACGTGTTAAGATGGGTCTTAGCTGTGAATTTTTGGTGGAACTTAAAGACTATTTGTCTTCCGAACATTAACTATTATTTTTCTTCAATCAGTTATGTGCCATGTGTGATACATGCTTAGGTGATCATGTATCTTTCGATATATGACTGACGAGGCAGATTTTTACCTGCAGTTGGTTGCCGTTCCTTTCTGCGGTAAACCAGTTGCCATCCAAGGCTATATAACCCGGTCTTTCCTACTATTTACCCATAGCTGGTGGAGAAGAAAAGGATTCATACCTTTCCCAAGAGTATTAGCACGTCAATGAATGTAATGGATTCGACTGGAATTCGAACTCGGCTCTCCGATTCCTCATTCCGAGTCGCTATCCACGTATTTTTCTTACCGGATAGAAAATGGTCTATGATTGAATATGTTTATTTACTGGGATTTATTTTAGCTATCTTGCTTCTAAATTTATTTTAATATCTAAGAAAAAAAATTCCTACCACGATATGCTTATCAACGGGCGTAACCTTGATATCATAATCTATCCAGACGACACTATGTTGATGTGTTATTCTAGGGAAAAAAATAAATTAGCTATTAAAGATGGTACTAGATAAAAGCAAGAAGTAGCCATTAACTTTAACAAGTCAGAATGCGTGGTCGTCAGCAAAAGGGATGGGAATTATCTATCAGGGACGCCAAAATAAAGTAGGTGTAGATATTTAACTGAGTAATTAGTAACAGAAGAATTTTGAAGATTCACAAGAATAGAAAATGATGCTTTTCAGAAAATGAGTATTCTTCGACGTCATCTATGTATCGCGCCCCTTCGCGACATAGGCGATCCTGTCTCTCTGCATCTTCCTCTCCCTTGTAGATTTTTTCCTACCTTTGCGTAAGATCCCATCCCTCGTTCTGCCACCCATTCACACAAGCTCGTCAGGTAAGTAGTTCGATGCCTTCCGTATCAGTCTTACCCACAATATGCCTTGTGGGGGTTAAATTTTCCAAGCCCTCTTTCCTCGTATGTTGTATTCAAGAAATTTCAGCTGTCTTTTCCTGATTCTGAATAAAAGTGTTCTTATTTTCTTTAAGACATCTTCGTTACTTACTCGGTCCGTCAATGGAATTCTCAATATCCTTCGGTAGAACCACATTTTTTCTCCCTGTTTTTCCTCATCTGTGGAGAGATTGTCAAGTATTCATTACCACATAAGAGGATAGATACCACATAGATAATTATTGCTTCAATTAAAACAATTAAGGCCAAAAATTATTTTCTAAGAGTAGCTTAGATGTGGCACAAGGCCGAAAGTAAGGGGCACCCAGTGAGGATCAAACTCACTACACAGTCGTAATTGATCTAGCGATACAAGTTTGCTAATTAACGATTTTCTAAGCGTATCTTAGATGTGGTACAAGGCCGAAAGTAAGGGGCACCAAGTGAGAATCGAACTCACTACTCAATCATAATTGATCTAGCGAGAAAAAGCTTCTTAACCATTACACCAGGTCGAAGTGCCGTAAATGATGTTCTAATCGTAGCTTAGATGTAGCACAATCACGAAAGTATGGGGCACCAAGTGAGGATCGAACTCACTATTCAGTGGTTATTGTTCTAGCAAGACAAGCTTGTTAACCATTACGCCACGTCGAGATGCCAAGAGTGGTTATCACATAACAATCCAACACTCTTTTCTTTATTCTTAATGATTGTTCTGTTTCTCAGCACAATGCTTCGCTTTTGAAATATTTCTTTCACTAGTCCAATGCTTGTTCGGACCTCGGTATCGTATTTTCATCCACTACGAGAACACATCCCAAAAGAAAAGGCAAAATAGCCTTAAAAACAAACAAAAGATAGATTGCTCTAGAGTGATAACAGCCGGAGTCGATCCTTCAAATCTACAAATCAACCATTCACCGTTGCATGGAGTAGTGTTGCCATATATGGTCTGGTGCTCCTTATGTTTGTCTCAAGGTCCTTGATAAAATCCAGAGACGGATATGCAATGTAATTGACCCTGATCTGGCATCTGCAGTCGCTCTCTCACAGACATGCCGTCGCATCCCTCTGTCTTTTTTTACAAATACTTTCATGGTAAGTGCACCGATAAGCTGCTTTCGCTAGTTCTCAGACTTCATGAATTTAAGCGTTCAACTAGGCTGGCATCTCGCTCTCAACCATTCACTGTCGAAACTGTTAAATGTAGCCATCTCTTTTACTTCAATAGCTTCATGTCTCGCACTTCTCACCTGTGGAACTCCCTCCCCTCTTCCTGTTTCCCTGATAGCTATAATCTCCTACTATTCAAATGTAACGTCAATCAACGTCTCCAGATGTCCTGATCTATCCCCTATCCTTCTTTTCATCCTTTTCTCTAGCACTCCTATTTGATCTCGCTCCAACTCTCTGTAACCCCTTGCGTGCTAGTGGCTTCCCGCCTTGCTTGGGGTGGAACAACTTATACATATATATATATATATATATATAT